CCTGAATAAGAAGAAAAACGCCTATTTCAGGATTTTTCAAACAGATTCGTACCTACGACCCTCACACGAAAGTTTAAAAAACCCGCTTTTACCACACGAAAAATATTCAGTCATAACATCTAGGTGATTGGGATAAGACGCTTCGATTACAAAGAATAATCTTCCCAGCAGATCTGTTCAATCACAACAGACAATGGAACAATGATTTAATTCTGCAGCGAACCATCAATAAGTCTATTCGATACGTGGTGATCATGGACAGTGATACTACTGTGTGTTTGTTGATTGTTCTATGGGCGTGCGTTTTCGGATGCCAGTGTACGCCAGTTGGAATCGCGTGACTGTGAGTTTAGGTGAGCGAAGTTGAACACAACCAGGTCGCCGAGCTAGTTTTAAGGGTTCACGCGCACCGTCAGCCACTGCATATGGATGATAATTCTATCATCGCTGTGCTTGACTATGATGGCATTGATGTGGATGTGAGAATGGGTACAGTAAACGCATGGCCTACGGAATCGCTGACTCTCCGGTTTCAATAGTGAACTTGACACTGCTGCACGAATTGTTGTGGCAAGACGAAAAGGCTTTTTTGGAGTTTACTTTTTACTACAAATGCATCGGTTGCTTAACAAAACGACGAACAAGTTTATTTTGTTCTACTGTTTCTGTCTGGTGTTGGAAAAGATTTGCAACTTTGAATGTAATGTCGCTGTCTTTGTGCCAAACGATTCGCTGATGGAAGCCGCAGACAACAATCGAAATCCGCATTTTTTTATACCTACACTTTATCACTTGCTTTATTTAGCCTTATTATACTGTAACAGTCAAAACGGTATAATAATATGCTGTTGCATTCAGTTTCCACAACTGGTAAATTGTACCGCCCTAGCTATTTATGTTGTTTGTGTTTGCCCCCATCGTCTTCAGATACCGAACGTATGATCCATATGTGCCATCGTATGTGAGAGGAGATTGAAAATTTGTTTGGGATTTAGGATCAACATCGCTACAATACCGAAGACCATCTGTGTGCTGAAGAAGCATGTCCTTAGAGATGAAAATGTCAGCTGTAGATGGAACTTCGAAATTTGTTCTTTGCTTCACGGGTCTCGACTTACTCTTTTCTACAATTCACTTTCAGTATGGAGCAAATGATTCACGACCGAAACGCCATGACCAATATGTATGATAGTATACAAAAAGGACATTACGGTGATTCTGAAATTTCTCCCCAAACTTGGGTGTGAAATGAACAAGCACACTGCTGAATTCAGCTTGGTTTACAACTCATTTTCGCCTGTTTCAAAATCACGTTTAAGTCAAAAAAACTGGGGCAAAGTAATTTGTATAGTCTACAATTAGAGGAAGGATGAGTCTATGAGCCACCGAGACCTCCTAAATGCCATTTGAGTGATTTATTTCTGTAAAAAAAGGAGAATCAAGTGATAGTCCAAACCTTTCCGTTTAATGGTTTAGTAGATTCCGTCTCTCTATCTGTTCGCAACGTCTGGCAGTTGGATTTTCTGTCATGTTTTTGTCACAGTTTTTTGTCTCGAATGACTTAATACGAATAACCTGATCTTATTTGATTGCTGCGTTTAAGTTCACCAACAAGTTAAATACAACTCCTATCTGGCTCCTGGTCGATCTGACTCACATGAATCTACTTTTGCTAATATAATTCCAGTCACCCAAACTCAGTGAACTTGACGCAGGTTCATCCAAAATTCTGCACATCATAACAAATGCACATGTGCACACTGGCAACACAGTGTCTGCAGTTCCACGAAGTTTATTCACCCCCACGTTTCAAGTTGATTTGCTTCAGTGGTATGTTTGAGGTTCCCTAACAAGAATTCTTCGTAGGACCCCTTCAATAATGTCCTCTGGGAAGTGGGTACTTATTCGGTGGGATTAATTAAACTCTTAGTTTTATTTGCCTACTAAATCACCTTTATGTTTATTGGTCAATCTTCGAAAATCTGATATTTCTGTTTCCAGTTTGTCCTCAGTCGAGCTATCCCGTGAGATTTTATTAGAAGCTAAAATGTCTTTTGATCAAAAATCATCAGACTAAACATACGAAATGCGGTATTTCCGGTGGCTATGGAATCAGTTTGCCATCCGCTGTCACTCCGTAGCTCATCTTTCTTTAAACCATGGGAATGACTGGACACAGGTCGCTCCGCCACGTAAACACCATATTCTGTAGAACAGCTTTGAACACATTCGATGAAAGCCCACTAGAAGGTCACTTGTAGAGTGTTGCACCTCAATCAGTCAAAATTACCCAACCAGTAGGAGGACTCGTTTTTGCCTCCTTGTTGTGTGTGCCGATGAGCTTCAGAGTTCAATGCAAACCGGATACAACTAATCCAAATTCCAACCAGGTTATTAAAAAAATTACAAATACGAAGCCTGATTGAAGCTGGTCTGCAGTTGAAATTACCAGTCCATGACGGAGCATGACCAAGCAAGATTTGACTTCCATAAATTTTCCTAAAACAGCCGATAATAGTATAGTATCTAATGGCCTTGGACGGTATTTCAAGGTTGAACAGTCCCCTCTGTTGATTGGTTAGTGTGCATACTGTTATTTAAAGCTCAGTGGGACGGAATCACCACACTACTACAGCCATATGTCCAGTTTCTCTTCAGCCACCCATGAAGTCCTTGAAAAGAAACCGGTACTCGGATGGATTCCTAAAGCAGCATATCTAGCACACTTAGAAGTATCCTGCATATTCTATTTTCAAATGTTCAGTGTCACCCCCTTTCCAACTTGAGACGTAATGCTTGGTTCTATCACAAACAAAGCTCAACGAAAGCTACTTTGGACAGACCGCAGCGATATGTATCTTCTACACTATGACTACTACAGAAGAGCCTTGCACACGCTTTTGTAAGCTTGTGAATAGTGAAGAAACGTGATTCTCACTATGTGGCAAAATCGTCGGATTGGAAAGCAGAAACTGTGTAAAAAAAATTCAATACAACCATGTGTCTTTTACAACGAATGATTTCCTAATACACCCCAGCAGTGCCTGGGAAGTATGAGGAGCTGTTAACGTCACTATCCAAAGGACCTAGCAACTCAGTGATGACACTGAGTCAGCTTCCGCCACCAGACCAACGGACCACGAAACGAAGACACTGTATAGACAAATGAGTTTGAGGGATTAGGTCAAGTCTGAAGGCTAGCAGAACATCCACTAATCAGAATAACCGTCAACCAACAAGTCATCATGAATACTAACTGAAACTATCGGTTAAGGACAGCCTGACTGTGCACGCCTCCATGAAAGCGCAACGAAAAATCCTATCGAACTTCAAAGTACTTCCACTCACAAAACAGTGATAACATCGTCTCGAGAGACCGTCAAATCAGCAGTTATTGCACCCATGGTCTGAAGTTTGCTACCTTGCGCAGATTGCTTAAATATCAGCATCTGAACTTGAAATTGTAAGTACTAGTGAGCGAGGAAGTCAGTAGTTTTGCATTCTCCTANACGGAATTCGTAGCTAATCAGCAGGAATCATCTCATTTACCCCGAAGGATGTTCGCCTATAGGAAGAAAAATCAGTTTACGATTATGTGCACTCTAAAAACCAAATTTTTCATTTGTTCTGAGGAAAGCTTCGCTGCTTAAGATGCGCCCTCAGTGAAGGCGGCTCAAATGTTTGTGAGCCCAGGAACTGTAAGTGTTTCGAATAGACTAAAAAGATCGCACAGCATGTGGGAACTAAACTTTGGAGTTGGTCTTTATATTTAAGGTACCACGGTTAGATAAAATGGTTCACTCCGACGTTTCGATGACCCCCAGTAAACCGAAAGTTGGTTAGACAGGCAAAGAAACAAGACGGGCACAAATCCCATCTCGATTCCCCCGGGCATCCATGTTAGCATTTCGTTTGAACCACTTTTGAAGTTGTTGTCTGTCACCTGCTTTTCTGGCACATTTGGGGGGAACAGAATAAGAAATGATGCTTCTCGTTTGTTCCGTTTAATGCTTGTGGCATTACGACTTTGGACATCCCTTTTGGCAAAAATATGGCCGATACCTGTTTCCGTTGTTTTCGGTTAACGTATTATTGCCTTAGAGAGTTTGCGAAATTCTTGACATATGAATGACGCTCCTATGGCTCAGATCTACATTGAGAAAAGCAAACATTTAGAAAACCTACCGAGCGCTTTTCAGCAGAGCACTAGGGGAAAATACGTGACTTTCTATAGTTTCTAGGATTTTTAAAAGTTTAGTGGTCCTGAATATGATGAGCTCTATAAAGAATCAGCTCACGTGGATCAACCTATATTAAATGAGCAGTTGAGAGGTTGACCAGTCGAAATAATCTGTGCGTTCATGTTTTGGGGTCTAGGTTCTATTTTGAAGCGTTGAAAGTGCTCAATAATCTGGAGCAGATAGTTTCAATAGCTGAGGTTAACTCCTGGACAAGATATTTGGTTACTTCTTGTTTCTTGTTTCCATAGACTATTCTAAGCAGGCGCGTGTCACTGATCTATTCGTGGCTTACATCATCGCTACTGAACTGGTACAAAGTAATTTTTACGCACATGCTATAAAGTTATGCCGCTTTCTTATAGGAAACTCACGAATGAGCGTGACCACCTTGCAAAGTGCGGTTTGTTCACGAGTCATAAATGAACAGGTAAGCATCCGCCAGAATGCAGTTTAGCTCACTTTCCAGTGAAATAGACATCTGGCTTCCATCGTCCTAGTTATGAGCTTCTCTCGGACTTTACCTCGAGGGCATTACGTGCACCATACCAAAATGGCTCGAGGTGGCTCAGTGGTTAGATTTCACATTTACCAGACGGAAGGTCTGTGGTTTGAACCTAACCTCTAAATCTCGACTGCTCCCGTTTAGGCTTGGGCAACCTGTCAATACACAAGCCTTTGTGCTTCTTTCGGGTGGCATGGCAGCTACGCACCGGAAACGAGATGCAGCTGCAAAACTTTCTATACCAGTTGGGTAGCAGAATGTGCGAACTCTCTTGTTTGTTAACTAAGCCATCAGCTTGCCATTGCAAGCAAGTCCAATCACATTTTAATCCGTATACCGGGATAGCTGGTTTGCCACAACAAATCAAACAGTGACCTGTTGATGATATTTTTCAGAGTGACGGTCAGTATGACAATAGATGGTGTAAAATGTTAACGACAGTGGACGGATTTTCATGTTCACGCATGAATGGCCGCGAAAGACGTGAACTCTGCATTGTGTCCATAGATGAATAGACTGGGTTTATGCCAATTCTCGGGAATGCAACTCTTTCAGCTATCTATAGAAGTCTTAATTTGGTTAACTGATTTCCAGTTCTTTGTGTGTTGCTAATTTGGTCAAAGTAAAAGCCGTTTCAGCCTGAAAAAAATCATATCACATCTGTGTGTCTATACACTACTTCCATCCCACAGTCAAAGATGTTTTTTTCTAGCCTAGTTCATTGCACATATGTAAACATCCGCAAGACACTGGTATAGTCTCATCAACATGGTAGGTAGATGCCTGGGTGGGTGTATTCGTCCTAAATTTGTAAGTGGACGGCCTTGTAAACGCAGTCAGTTCCATTATCCAAGTACAAATTTCTGCGCGCAAGGTAAGTCTTCAAAAATTGTCTCTCAGTAACGATGAGCTGGAGTGATGGTAGAAATTTTGCTGTGAACTATCAACTGGATCAGGGAAAAAGCTTTGCGGCAGACGGCTATAATGTTGCAGAATAGGAGATTCTGAGGATTGCGTAAACGATCCATATTAGGGTGCTACAATATAAGGATATTAATAAGAGAAGACGGTGCTATGCAAACGAAACCAACGTTTCACTCCCACACGCTAGCTCCCCCATTAAGCACTGCAGTTGGCACGCAATATGGTAGCGCAGTGTGCTCATAAACGACTAATAGGTCATCTCACCGGCACCGGAAGTTTGTCGCTGTGTGACATGAATATGCACTATTTTTGGGATCTTAGATGCTTAGTCTTTTGGAAACCACTTTGATGGTTTTGATGGACTGATTATCGGGAATACATTTATCCCTAAATAGAACCTCCGAAGAATGGGGGCCAGTCCTCTAAACATATGACAAGAGTGGTGTCGTGAAATACGCTGCATTTTACACCTCTCCGAAAAGTAGGCCAATTGCAGGAGAGGACAACATGTATTCCCTTTTCTGCTAGCGTCCTCTCTCGGTTTGGACTGCCACCACATCTAATCAAGTAGTAAATTAGTCTCCTATTTGGGTGTACTTTGCCAACTGCGTCCATTTTGGGTTTAGGCAAAACACAAGGTTGATGGAAACTTGGTGACTGCGACTAACTCGTGAGCAAGGGGAAGCTTGAGACAGGAAGTGAGTTGCTGAACAGCATTTAGCACTGTATCGTCGAAACGGATAGAGATACTCATTGGAAAAGCAGCCTTCCTCTTGCCTGGAGGATAAACTGTCTTCGAGAGAGTTTCACGAAACACCATTTAGATGAACATCTTGGACTCCCCGGAGTAGTGAACTTTCTTCCGCAGGAGCAGCTCTCGTCGACTAATCAAACTAGTATTTCAGTAAACCACATAATTCACTTGCTGCTTAAAGCAGTTGGTCACACACACGCAAGAGCATTTAATCCCTTGAAGATCAGTGAATATTTTGTTTGGCGTAATTCTGCCAAATGCAAGAAATAATTCGAAGTAAGCCACAGCTTTAGAGTTCTTTAAACCCTGCTGACTGGAATTCTAACTACGAGGGCGTTTTCCTGTGAAATTCAAATAGCACCAATCGAAGTTGAGCTACGGAGTCTCTTCTGGTCCCTGGTGTCGTTTTTCACCGATAATGTCAGCCATTTTGACCGCTTCTAGTTTGTGAACTTTTACGTCCCGGTTGTCCTTGCATAGATAATCCACCCCAAGCCTTCACACCTTCACATCCCTACTGCCAAAATCACTGAAAAATGGGATTCCTCGGGCACATTTATTCCAGGTGCTGCCACTATATTATTGTTCCTCAGGTAAGTCAAGTGTCTTTCTTCTGGGTTCAGAATTATAGACCGTTGTTCCGAACTGAAATATCTGCCTTCCTAAGCAATTCCATCATGTACACTTACGGTCAGTATCCGTGCAAATGGCATCAATTTCTCCATAGTAGCTACCACCTTGAACCTTTTTCGAGGGGTCAGCCTCAAAAAACCCGACCAGAGGTAAACTGTGAGCTCTTCTCGGAAGGGGAACAATCAAAGGAAGCCGGTCTTTAAGGAAGGCGATCTGTCCACAATGGGAGATCCGCGTGTAATACTACTGTCCTGTGATTAATACAGTATTGATCTCCAATCAGGTTTAGATTTGATTGAGCTCAAATGCAGTCCCGCTTTCTGTTCAGATAAACTGGAAAGTTTGGTCTTCAGAAAGTTCGATATTTTATCCAGTCAGTTTCAGCATATCAAGAAGTATGAGACCTCGAATAAAGACAGGACGTTTTGTCTGAAGTACCATCGCTCTTCACTGAAAAGTGGTAACTGCTCGGGGAGAAACGTAATCATGTTATTAGAAAAGGCGTGATCGGGTAACCAAGTGTCAGATACACGCGCCTTATTGGGATAAGTGCACCAACCAGATGGTTCTAGGTGAAAACATTAAGGTTGCTGAGGCCTGGACGGTACACCTGCCTGCAGGTTTTCGCAGCCGATTTCTTGATGGATCCTGATAAGAACCAGAGCCTCCTCTTTGTATCGGTCTGAATTTAGTGAAAACATGTCTTCATTTGTCATGCCAAAAAACAAGTTAAATCTTGCCGACTAGAAGTACGCTCTTTAATTGTGCAGGACTGTTCGGGAAGACGCAAACACCATTCAACTGGCAATCAGCTGAATTTTCCCGTTAAACGGTTCGGAGTAAGTAAAAATATGGGACAACTCTATAGCACAGCGTCGGCAAGGAAGCAGATCATTCCGGTTGTCTTTATCCTAAATTTGGTTACTCACTACTGGGTTCAATCTCACTGGCTTTTTTCTCAAAATTAGAGATATGGAATTCAGATAACGATCGTTCACGATATACGGAAGGCGTTAGATGCCATAGCCAGGTTTGATGGACATGAACGATCGTGAGAACATGGCAGCCTTAGAAAAGGAACGTTACGTTTAGTTCTGCTGGAGTTGTCTTCGGGTCATTCATAAGCTCGTTTCTATCTCATACGTCGGATGCCATGCATTCATGTCAGTCCAATCACATGTAGACATTAGACAAGAATTCCTTTACTCAGAAGTATTCGGTAGCAGGATTCCAACGTGCAAAAGGGTTGTTTGTCTGACCATCTAGGCATGCGACTGCAGGGGTACTGTCCTTGCTCACCTTGTCATGTTTGTGCGTCTGTGTGCGTGAGTGCTAATGGCTTTTCAGGCCCTCCCAAAGTAAGCACGTTCATCCCGCATGAAAGAACGTGGTTGAGCTTAGGGGATTTCATTCACCTATTTTTTAAAAAAGAATACGGCTATGTGAGTGCTTGCTTGAAAAAAGGAATTTCACGGAATCCTGTGTGGCGTGATGTCAGCTTCTGGTTGTAATCTCCATACATGGTTGGTCGGATCATACTAAACAAGCCACAAAAGCTTTTCTCACCCGGTCAAATTCAAAGTTAAATATGAATTCCCCACCCCCCGCTGGGGGGGATCTTCGGTACGTCCAAAGCGTTCCGACTGGCCACTGGTTGAGAAATTACTGGCAACGTATTCACTATGACATGTGCTCAAGGGTTGGTACAGTCTCCCAGCCAGATATGATGAGATGAATGTTTCAAGTGGCGCAGTGATGTTGGCAGTCTCGCATAACCTTTCAGGCGACTGAAGTTCAAACTTTGTTACAATCAAGGAAGTGAAGTGCCGATGAACACCGACAGAGTTAGTGTTTTTGATGACTGGCCATTATAAGACACGAGAATAACAACTAGACAGTGTCGCTGTGAATGAAAAGTTGGCTATTTCCCAAACTATCTACAAAATTCGGTGTGATCAAACGCACCAATTAGTCAGCGATTTGCTTACAAAAGCTAATTAGTTTTCTTTCAAGTGGAGGCTGTCGCGGAGCAAAATCGAACGGGCCTTCAAGAATTATCCCAACTCGGACCTTTTCATCCCTTTCTCATTTACGGATCTCATAGAATACAACAGCAGATATTTTGCTGAGGAAGATTTACAAACCTACATTAGTTGGGTTGCAACGTCTCTCTCTTTGAATTTGGCAGTGTCATAAACTATTCCACTCCACGACCTCTGTAATTTATATTCCACTCAGCCGAACCAAAAGTGAGTAAACTGGTGTCTGCTTGCATACAGGCAGGTCTACATCAAAATAGAGGCGTGGAAAATGGAATAATAAGCTCATTGTTTCGCAAATGAAATTTGTGGAAACATGGTATTTTTACACACCAGATAAGAGTTCTGCTACTAGTGCATCGACGTCTATGGACGCTGGAAAGCAACGAATCCTAAGAAGGCTTTTCCCTGGAGTGGACACTTACGTTTGCTATATTATATTATCATCCATAGTGAACATCCTGTTTTGCTCCGTAAGCTCCTGAGCACTAGCTGCTCTCCTATCCTTCATGGATTTACCGTTCATGTACTGTCATCATCGTTCTCGTCGTTATCATCATCATCATCATCATCATCATCATCATCATCATCATCGTCATCATCGTCATAAACAGAAACATCAATGTGGGCGCTGACGCTTCAATGCTGTACAACCACTAATTCTATCTAGTCATATTTAAAGTATTAAAAAGAAAAGAGGAGAAAAGAGTGGGCGGGAGGGGAGACTTAGTGCTGGCTTATCGCAAGCAGTTGGAGGTGCCTACACCTCCAAATACTCAATCAGACAGTCTAGAAAGATACGGATAGCACTCCTTCTTGGAAGGCGTACCGCACAAACAACAACTGAACTCTTTGTTATCAACTTCACACGGAAATCACCACTCAGTTTGGTACGCAGTGCTTAGGCATGTGCTGCACATGATCAAGCAACCGTAGCTGATTGTGCTGGTGCACAATCGTACTGGTTAATACTTAAGTGAAGACCTATTCTAGCCAGCGGAGTAGTTTGTCATCTGTCAGAAGTTCATCCTTTACCTACACTTGGAGTGGTAGTACAGAACGAACTGAAAAATTGGTGCCGGTCATGCAATCTCCTCCGACAGTTCGCTACTGGTTTCACTAAGCGAAGACGCTGCTCACTGATAGGGAAAAGTTTTCAAACTTTTCCAAAAAACGTCATTTGTTCAACAGTTCTGTAGCCACAGAATGTGTAATAGGTGGATTTAGGAATTAGACTACCAATGTTTTATACAAACTTTAGCCTGGTCGACCGAAAAACTACAGTTTTTTCACTGATGGGATAAAGCAAAGGCAAACACAGTGTGTTAATTCTAATGTTTTACTTTTGTGAATGCATATAAGAGTACAGGAAAAAATGATGTAGAAGCAAGAAACTTCTCGAATAATAGGCGCACTGAACAACAAAATCGGAGACGAGATTGGTCATATAAAACTCATCGTACGATCTGAAACTAGAATCTTTTCAAAGAATATAGGTAATATCGTATTCGGTAGAGTTTGGTTCCAGGTCACTGTGGCGAGAAGAAGATAGGTGGTCAGACATGATATGTTATCCTATTCACGCTCAACGACTACCGTCTGTAAAAGCATTTAAACTCATATGTTCCAATAAAAACGCTGGAAAAACAATAGGTCAGACGTTGATGTGGTCCAAATAACCTACTGGCGTTTCTTCAATGCCGCGTAGGGTGCGGTAAAATGGCTTGACAATTAAGAGAATGGCAGATCAGGATGGTAGACGAATTTACCAGAATCATCTTCTTGAGTCTCTCCATCAACTGCTCTACCATCAGATGTGAATTCATACTGAGACAAGATTGCCTCCTCTTTGCACAATGCTGGGAGCTTCGCCTGTGACACAGCACTGCCAGGCTCACCCAATTACTGGATATCAGACCGAACAGTGTCATTGCTTAAATCTCGGAGAAATATCCCAGTCCTGACAAATTATCAGAAGTCAAGTGAAAGTGAGCGTGCCAGCCAACCATGAAGTATGGTGGACACGGGATGTCAAGAAATAGGAAGAGGCCCATAAAGCCGGTAATGCAACAAAACTATTTCAGTCACTCCGCGCAACCGGTCCCCAGAAACTTCTTGTGAGTGAATCCATCAATGATCAAAATAGAGTAACCATGGTGAATAAAGTACGCGAGATGGCTCGCGTGGTTGGAGAGCAAATTTACGGACCGAAAGGTCCGTGATTTGAACTCAACCTCTGCCTCTCAACTTCCTCTATCTAGGCTCGGACAACATCGCAGTATCCCAGCCCCAATGCTTCCTTCGAAAGGCACGACATCCAGGCACCGAGAGGGTGTTGCAGCTGAAAGGGTGGAGTATATTAGTAAAGTCCGTCTCAACCGGTAGGTCGACTACTTCGAACAACAGTGATCGTGGCCACTAGCTGCCAATCAGCTGGAGCTCACAGATGGCGTAGAATCCTGAAAGGTGAACGTGGAAGCCCCTATGGCTTCAGAGGTCGATGACTACATGTGTACTCTCAAGTGCCACCGAGCTTCTGGTCCCGATGACCTCACATTCGCACTGTTCAAAGACAGGGATTATATTCCCAGTCAGCGCTTGTTTCATCAGTTTAACTGCATTTGGAAAAGGAAAATGTCCCAGATATCTGGTGAGAGTTAGTGATTGTGCCTGTTTCCAAAAAGAGGCTCGTTGGGGGTGTGAAAACCTGTTCTGAGTGAGAATGCTGAAGTCACTTGTGCTTTGTATTTTTATATTGGCTCGTGAAACACTGCCTCAAGCGCATCAACCGGGATTCCGACTTGGTAGGGATTGAGTATATAAAATCTTCACACTCCATCAAGTGGTGGAATAACGCCATGTGTACAGACTACCCACAATTTTAATATTCCTGGAAAGCATTCAATTCGGTTGGCCGGTTCGCTTCACTTATGCGCTTGCTCATCAAGAACTATCACGAAAGTTTGTGAAAATAATAAATTCTTTAGATTCTCATACTTTTAGACGCGTGAGAGTATACGGAGAGCTCTCTAAAACCGCACGCACACACAACGGTGTCTACCAGGGGTTCTCATTCTCTCCATTCTAGTTTATTGTCGTGATCGATGAGATAATGAGGCGTACGCTGGAAAGTCTTCAAAAAACTGTCCAAACAGCTGCTGATGAAAACCTTGTCGATCTGGAATATGCGGACGACATCGTTCTTGTCTTCGAAGAGGAGAAGAGGGCGAAATTGTTTTGGATGACCTGACCAAAGTCATGTCCTTTGATATGCACTTTGAACCCGAAAAGTGTAATATCACGCTCGTGGACATGCAGCCACTGAACACGCCACTTATAATCCAGAGGGAGGCATCAAAAGTTGTGAAGCGTTTTGCGTACCTTAGAAGTTGTATTAGTTCTGATTGTAGTGTGACGGGTGAGACCAAGGTACGAATCTGCAAGGCTCGGGTCGCGTTTGCTAATTTGTTACACTTATGTTGTAAAAGCGACACATCACTTAATCTCAGGAGATGTATGTATCGGGGATACAGTGCGGAGTGTTTTGTTGTATCCTTCTGAGGCTTAGGCTGTTCGAGCAGCGGAAGTGAGATGTCTTCAGATGCTCGACAATTGTTGTCCAAGAACCATAGTTCGTGTGGGTTGGTGTCGGAAAATTCGTAACAAGACAATCAGAAAACGACTTTTCGGCTGCACAACCGGGACTTTCACTTAAGAATGTGTCCAATACCAAAATTTGCGTTGATTCGGCCATGTGTTTCGTGTGCTAAACCATCATTCACTGAAAACGGTTCAGTGTCCCGTGACAAATTCAGTAACGGAAGCAGAGAGGTGTCCAACCATTGACCTGACAAAGAGTTATAAATGGTATTACGAAAAGTTTGAGCGTCGTCGGTGCTACTCGTCTTCCAGGATGGGGCTTGATCTCTCTCACTGGGCTTGATGGTATTACGAAAAGTTTGAGCGTCGTCGGTGCTACTCGTCTTCCAGGATGGGGACTGCAAGATCTCCACTGGGCTTGTTTGAAGGCGTTGTAAGATATAGCAGCTAGTCGATGTCAATGACGTTTTTGTTTTCAGCTTCTATCCAGGTTGTCTGAATGAATGAACGTGAATCGAAAGTCAATTCCAACAATTCTATTTATATTATTATCCCTCTGGAGAAAATACCTGGCTGGAGAAAATACTTGTCTGTAAAAAACCCTCAAATGAAAAAACGCAGCACTAGTGCCAGTTACTATAGTCCAGGTGCCACTATGTATTTAGAGGGCGAGTCCGGGATGTTTTAACTATATTAATGCAAAGCATACTAAATTCGGACTAATGAAGCATATTCCTAATGGTATTTGAAGAAGAAATTGAATAGTTGAAGGAAGTTTAATGAATCGTTCACAAGTTCGTCGAAAATGGCTGGAAGGCCATTAATCCTCTCAATGAACTAGGAAGGATTCGTTACGGCATAAGAGCAACGCAATGACGCCCACGAAGGAGGTCTGAGCACATGCATTCTGGTGGTGTAAGCTGCATGAGCATAACTTCCCCACTGGGTTTTTATCACCAATCAGTATAAGAAACCCAAGGTTTTCTTAGCGATTACCATGAAAATACGGTGTTATTGAAATTTCAAATGAAGAAACAAAGGCAGTCTCCGTGGATAATCGGAGTTCATTTTTATCAGCACACGAGACTCTCTTCTTAACCAGCGCAGTATTATTTCGATTTTAAAGCTACTGCTTTTGGTTAAGTAGTTAAAAAGGTGGACAGTAAAATCGCCAGCGACCCAGTTGGTCAGGTAACTCGTATACATAAAGAAAACACATGAGATAATGTAGACGTCCACCAATTGAGGTTCTAGATCTATCTAAGCTAAATACACTGAACCAAAATTGAATAGTCTTAGGTAGAAGTGATAAACGTACTTGGAATATGGGACCTGCAGGTTCATGCTTACATAGAAATTAGAGCCTCGGATAAAAACTCCTGACAATAATAGCGCTGACCACATGAGGAAAAATGGTCAATATTTTTCTTGCCAGACTACACGGTGAAATTTTAAACAAAATTAGCCGAAAGTGTTTTTTCCTGTCAAGTAGTTAAAATCAGTCAATCCTTTCCAGAACCGTTTTTGAAGAGAAATGTATTGGAAAATTTACAGCAACACTCACATGCTGATGTTTTTGTCCACCATGAGTGCAGTCAAATTAGGTGTGACTGGGAGAACGGCTGGAAACAGTTCAAAAGAAACCGATGAAAATTCATGAAATTTGGTCAACGTGGTTGGTTGTTGGGTGATATTAGCAACCCTTTAGAAATTACGTTAACTTTAGTTGAATTGGGGAATTACGCACACAATCGCTCGCTAACGATTCATCATCGCATCGTTGTCGAAACGTTCCGAATTCAGTTGGTAAGGTCCGCGAAAACATCAACTGACAAACGGTCAAAGAATTATTTGAACTGTCAATATTTAAATATACTGCATTCCTTAAAGAGTGTTCCCCAAAAATTCCTTATCAAAGGGTTGGACGACTCTCAGTAGCGGATAAACCAGTGAGATAATTGGAATGAAAACAAGAAATTACCTGTTTACTATGGAATACCAAAACTAGGTTGACGATGTTTATGTATCGTCTATAAAATTAACGAACGACTTGGGTAAAATGCCAGAGAAACCGCGAAGAATTTTTCCATTCTGGCTCCATGCGTAATAGAATAAAATAACGAGTTTGCCCATTTAAACTCACGCATTTCTTTGCTTTCAGACGCAACCGGCGAGGTTTCTTCGGCTAATTTAGGATGGAAGTTAGGAAAAGAAAGTCACCTGGTGCAGCACATTTCCTGCTTAACGTAGCATATTACTCGTAATGTCGCTGAAAATCCATCGGAAGCCCAAAACTGATTTTGCCCACCTTTTGGTTTAGCAGGTAGGTGGAGTCCGCCGATTCTCATAAAATCCGTTTTCTAATTGAACACCATGTTTTAAGCAACTGGCAAATTATGTTGTCTCTACTGAACAGCACTGTAGTTCGCAAATGAGTGAGTTTAAAGGTGTTGGTAGTATGAAGACCTTGAATCTCTATAAACTGGATACCGGTGCTAGAAACTTGGTAAGGTCCGTTTCGTGGACGCGACTTTATGGTATGATCTTATGATGGGCGATTAATTTCGTACCCATTCGCATGGCATACTGTTTTGGACAAGGAGGTCCTAGGGTATGTCGAAAAGTAGCAATTTGAGACCCTATATCATAAACGAGGAACTTACCCAAAACCATCTCCAGTCTCCGGTACATGGCATTCTCCGTTATGCAGATGAATTATATATAT